CACTCTGGTACTTCTACTTTTACTCAAGTACAAGATCTGAGTACTTCTACTTTTACTCAAGTACAAGATCTGAGTACTTCTACTTTTACTCAAGTACAAGGTCTGAGTACTTCTACTTTTACTCAAGTACACGATATGAGTACTTCTACTTTTACTCAAGTACAAGATCTGAGTACTTCTACTTTTACTCAAGTACACGATATGAGTACTTCTACTTTTACTCAAGTACAAGACCTGAGTACTTCTTCCTCCTCTGCATATGGTCATAAAAAGAAGGTGTATGATACATTTGAACTAATTGCCTTATATTCTCGGGGGAACGTGACTTTCTCGTCTAAATGTAATGCCATTTCACGTTTTAGAAGTGCTGAAGAGATGGAAATATCCCCCAGAAAGCCATGTGGCACACAAACACTCAAAATGTCTGATTTCTACTGATGACAAACACAAGGGTCCATGTTATGTAAGCAACCAATCACAGCTCACCTGCTGATAGGACACACAGGTTCCAGTGCAGTTCTGTCCCCGGGGGTCTCTGGCCCAGTTACGAGCGCACGTCATGTCCATCCGGCAGGCGTCAAACCTGAAGAAACACACGGCAAATCTCTAAATTAAATAATGGCAAAACACTCAACTGTAAATCTCACATTGTAAGATGTATTCCTGAGATTCTGGTTGTCTACCAAAGAACTGGGGTGCAGCTTTTATGCAGAATTAGTTCATATGCCAAATATTAAGCGACAGTTAGCTTAGCTTAGCTTAAAGACTTCCAGTCTTTAAGCTAAGCTAAGCTAAGCTAAGCTAAGCTAAGCTAAGCTAAGCATGGATCCCCATGTTTCCAACATGGGGATCCAAAAGCAAGCCGAACTCCGTGCAAGATTAACAAAATCCACCTGCCAGCCCCTCTGAATCTCACTTTATTTAATATTTAGTAAACATTTCATATCCTTCGAGATTAATCCCTACGAAAACCAAAGTTTAAAAACAACTAGTTAACATAGTTAAAGGTAGGGTAGGTAAGAATGGAGAAACCAGCTCGAGTGCGCTAGAATTTGAAAATACACAACCGGAAAAAATCTGCCCCTTCCTTCAGACTTCCTTATCGAGCCCCTCCTCCAACACACACGAACGCGCACATGACCAATGAGGGCACGAGATAAGTTTGTGCACGAGATGGAAGGCTGACAGGCAGGTAGGCCATCCAGTTATTTTAGCCGGGCCGGCTCAGATGATTGGTCGTGCTTTTTACAGCGCCACGACTTCCACAGATGACATTTTTTAATGTATTTATTGTCAAAGCATTTTATATATTCATTGCTATCGGGATGTTACGAGCATTCCATGGAATATAACAACAAGTGTTTCTGAAGTGAATTACCTACCCCACCTTTAAGTAGGCATTTGTTCAGTAGTAGCCTACAAAAGAAATATGTTAAGGACTCAGCTAGTAATCTACATTTTGTTTTAAGTATGTGTCTTTGTGACTAAACCTTGCTAACCATACTAGCTAGGTAGCGCTAGCTTTAGCTTGTACCAGCTAAGACAACTATTGTCACTTAAATAAACAAAATGCCAGCTAAAATGCCAAATTCAAGACTTCAAAAGACAACACTAAAAACCAATGAATGACGTCACACTAACTATGAAGTCCCCATCTAAGAACAGTCTATTGTACCAACAGAAAAGTGGTATCAATCATCTCAAACTCAAGGCTGCTGAAGCGCTCCTAAATGTGTTCATTGTAAACAAAAAGATAGTATAAAAGGCAGTTCTCATATTTTTTTCATGACAACAACCCCTGCAACAAGGCAACCATGATATGAAACAGTTTCTCATGTTGACAGGAATCCCCTTTGCTGCTGTACATTGTTGTACCCTACTTTGTAAAACAGGACTAATATATGTAACCTTGGCCTTCCCTGAGCCATTATGCTGTTAATGGGACACTCTGTCTGAGCACAGAACGCCGTTACACCGAGCCGTAATCTCTCTCCTGACAGCGCTTATAGGTGAACGGGGACAGATACCGATCTTGATTTAGATGTGATTCGAAATGTGTTTTGGCAGTGTTGGGAAAACACTGAATGTCCTCTTCCAATATGAGAGTACACATGATAACAAAGGTATCCCAACTGTAGCTGTGTACATGACAGGATGTATGATTACCTAGAAGAGCATCAGGACTGTTTTAGGCATATGATAGCTATGTGATTAACATGATGATTCAGCCTCTATGGAGATAGACATATGACAAGCATGATCATTTCTGACGTGGAGCTAATCTGAAGTAAACATTGAATACTGCTTTCTATTCCTCCATCTTGTGACTGTGTAACTCCCTCTCTTGGATATCAGCATGTGAAGGACACTGTTCAGGAACTAGTTGATGCTCTGTATGTGATGACTACTTCCATTCTGGAGAGGATCAGAAACACATGGATCCTGAGATTGAAGCTCAAGCCGGTGACCAGTGAGATTTTTCTAACATTAACGAATGGCTAGGCCTAGGGACCATGGGTAATTAGCTTCATTATATATTATATAAATGTGTTTTGGCAGCCTCACCAGTCCCTGCAGAAGCTGTGGCAGAGCGGCACCGCCTGGATGTAGGAGCGTCTCTGAGGGTGAGGCCAGCGCGCGGCGTCCGGAGAGCAGCGGTAGAAACATGACACTCGCTTCAGGAAACCTTCACACCTAAAGAGAGAAGGGGGGGGGGGGGGGGGGGGGGTTAGTACTAACATTATGACATCAGTGTTTAAACCTTCATTGACCCTGGGAGGGATGACGGAGTGGAAATGGTCCCAAGGCAGTTAAAGGTGATGCAGGAATGAGTCGTACAAATGGGAAATGAGTCAGTATTTTGGTCATTTGGGTTCCCTTTTCTGGAAGTCAATGGGTTTTTTTAAGGTCTGTGGTTAACACAAGCTGAAGAGATTTTTTTTCTACCACATAAAACACGTCAGTAAATCCCCCACTGGTGGATTTAAAAAAAGCGGTTGCTAACAAGTGTCTAAATGAGATAACTAAACGTCATCACGCCCAACATTAGCCGCCTTTAGCTTAGCGGTGGTGATGTGAAGTCATGTGACCGTGCTGTAGTTCCTTTATAGCCCAACATAGAGTGCCACAGTGATGCGTCCTAAAACGCGATCATAAATCTATCGATAAGATTTATGATTATAAAATTATAAAAGTAGGGTAGACATGTGGATATTATCTGGCTGAACAAAACGTGATCTGTCTCTTCAATTTGTGTCAACCACAGACCTTATTTCAAGCTATTTTCCAAAATCCTATGGAGAAATTGCATTGGTTTTTTATCGAAGGAACCGGAAGTGGTAAAATGCTAACTTACTTCCGGGTTTTAGGACGCGTCACTGTGGCACTCTATTAGCCACCTTTAGCTTAGCGGTGGTGGCGTGAAGTCATGTGACCGTGCTGTAGTTCCTTTATAGCCCAACATTAGCTGCCTTTAGCTTAGCGGTGGTGACGTGAGGTCATGTGACCGTGCTGTAGTTCCTTTATAGCCCAACATTAACCGCCTTTAGCTTAGCGGTGGTGACGTGAAGTCATGTGACCGTGCTGTAGTTCCTTTATAGCCCAACATTAGCCACCTTTAGCTTAGCGGTGGTGGCGTGAAGTCATGTGACCGTGATATTTATAGCATAACGCTAACGTTGGGTACGTCATCACTGCACCACTCTAAAGTCGTTGATGTTAGTTTTGTTATGCTTTGTATTAGCTTGTCTTCATTGGAACAACTATCCAATGGAGTGTAGCTCTGTTAATATCATATTTGGCGGTCGAAGCTCAGTCTGTAGGGACTTGTCTTGGAAAGCGAAGCGTCATTGGTTCAACTCCCGTTCGGACCATGTACAAAGTGCGAAATGGTAGCTGTAAAGTTTTCCTGCTAGGCACTAATGAGGTGTCTTTGAGCAAGGCATCGAGTCCCCAACTTCTCCCAGTAGCTGAACCATTTGCAGCCCTTTTACTTTATGTATGCATGTGTACAGGTATTGTTTGTGCATATGTGTATTGTGGGCCTATGTGTGAAATGTAAAGTAGAATAACACAAGACTGAATAAATGAATTTGGGATAAATAAAGCACGTCTTAATCTTGATCACAGACAGATTTAATCTCAATGTTTTTTCAATCGCCATAATCCTTTGTGTGTTTACAGATAGTGATGTGATGGATGTTAATAGAAATCAGTGTTAATCAGAGGCTGTGACACTCACTCAGAGCTCAGAGGACCGCACTTGTCCCAGGGTTTGTTCTTGTTGAGAGCCGAGGGAACATGGGAGACGTCCGGAATGTCTTCTTCTGTGCAGCAGCTGTCTGTCAACCACAGGAAACACATGCAGTCAGTCGGGAGATATTATCACCACAGGGTGTCTTTCTTTACACCATCAAACATGCAGTGTTTCCAGGGGTGAGCTGTTACTAAGTACATGTAGTCAAGTACTATACTAAAATACACATTTAAGGTGACTGCACTTAAGTATTTTTTAAGTACTTTACAGATCAATCATTAGTTTCTCCAGAAATTCTGATTTCTACACACATAACATATAAAATATTTGTAAAATAAATGATATTATGATGTTGATTAAACTAGCACACATTATATTTTAGTACACCTTAAAAAGTATTTTGATAATATCTGATTTTTGTATTAAGACAACTCCTCAAAAGTGAAAATGTTCTGCTTCTAATTATTTATTTAATGTATTTGACTATTTTTTATTATATGTTTCTGCTTAGAGTAGACTACTTTTATATTAATATATCTAATATTTTGTTAATATATGTACTTAAGTAGCCTACCATTCTCAATGCGGTACTTTTACTTGTAATGGAGTACTTTTACAGAGAAGTATAAGTACTTAAAGGCTCTGTAAATCCACTCACTGTCAGCGTACAGCCCACACTCCGTCAGGTTGGGCTCTGGACTGGGCGTGGCCTTGTGCTTAGCGTCTTGAAGACACACCCCCTCTGAGTGGGCTCCACCAATCAGAGCGGCCAACAGATAAGCTCCAGCCAATAGCAGTGGACGAGAGGTGACACCCATCTCTACAGCCAATCACAGGTCTGGAAAAGAGTTCAGCACAATGGACAGAGGCAGATTAGAAACAGCATATTCTCACCTGACTGAAATATTGAAGTGCATTTAAAGTACTGTACTTAAGTACAATTTTGAGGTACTTGTTCTTCACTAAGTATTTTCATTTTAATGCATTATCTGACAGCTTTAGTCACTTTACAGATTCAGATATTTAGCAAATACTAAAAATAAATAACTTGTATCCTTTGGTACTTTATGTATATTTTGACGTCAATAACTTTTGTTAAATTGAGGCTCAACATTTTAATTGCAGAACTTTAACGTGAGTATTTTTTTTGTGTATTACTACTTTTTCCACCTCTGGAAGTTGACAAGAAAAGACAAAACAGTTAAAGAATAAATAAAAAATTAAATAAAAAATTAAATAAATTAAATAGATGTTAGTTTTGGCTTTTATAAAAAGAAAAAAAACATACTATAAAATAAATTATTTGGTTAATTGAGTTTACTTTTATTAACCTGCATTCCCATTAATGTAGGGATGATTGCCTGTTTAATAGAACACATATATGACATCCAAAGAAGAACTACCTACTGTAGTGTAGCTACCTGTACACGATTTTTTTTTAAAACACGTTGGATGTAAAATCCTAATCTGGGTTATTCTCACGCCTCAGTCTTCAGGTTTACAGGCTGTTTATCTCCGTGTGAGCTCTGCATGTGGTGACCCAGTAGAGGCTGAGTCTAATTAGGTGAGACTGGAGCACCGTGCACAAATGCGTAGTTGTTTAATCTGACAAGCGGATGGCCGATGTGTAGCCTCGATAACCAGAATTAAACAAATCTGGCTGAATGGACCTGGACACGTTGCTCTGAATCTACACAACAAGGATATACGACACATTTCACACACTACAGGAGAACACACATGATGGGGTTATAACGTTATATATCTGTGAGATACACTTGAAGTCACAAATTCCCGTAAATAAATAAACATAAATAAGAAATAGTCCAGTTAGTATAGTCCTTGATTTGACACAACAAAGATATGGGATGTGTTTCAGACATTTAAGGAGAAATAGATAATATTCTTAGCTGTTATAAAATCATGAGAAAATACTTGAAAAAATAGCAAAATAAATGAATAAAATAATTTGATGTAGCCCTGATTGAACACAACAAATACACAATTCTTAGATGTAAGAAAATCATGTATTTTCGAGAAAAAATACGTAATTTCTGGAATAAAAGTTCAATAAAATCAATAAAAGAGTCCAGTGAAGCCCAGATTTCTCACAACAAAGATAGAGGATGCATTTCATATATTCAGGAAAAATAAGGTGACTATCCTCTACGTTATATAGTCATACATATATGGAAAAATATGTATATAATATATAAACCTCACAAAATCAGGAGGAAAAACTCCAACAAAAAATAACAAATACATTAAATAATCCGAGATATACGCTAAATAAACAAAAATACAAATGGTGCATTACACTACTTTCACCTTCCAGTTTTAAACCGTATCTAATGCTACTTCGAGGTAATTCAAATGTATTTTTGTATACAATATTCCACCCAAAAAATCAGCTCGCTTAACCTTGAAAATTAAAACTAAAAAAGCAACTTCTTCGTATTTCCAAAATGATAACGTACATTTATTTAAGCGTTATTATTTACAACACAACAATAACTTTTATGTATATGTAAACATGTTACCAAGTAGAAAACACGCAGGTGTAAAAAAAACTCTCTTTTTTCGATGGAGTCTGGTGTTGCTTATTAATGAGTTTTAAATTTGACTGTAAAGCACTTGTTGTTTCATCCGTAGCAACACATTATGTTAACGCACTGTCCTCGTATACACCTGTTAATAAAGATCATTCGAAATGTGATAATACGTCTGACAAGCTGTCGAATAAAACTGTTCAAATCGTCGTGCATTTATTATTGTTACCTGTCGGTGTTGTGATGAATGCTCCGGATTAGTTGCTTCCTCTCGGGTGTTTCTCCCCGGTGTGTCGCTGCGGATCTAGCGGCTGCTCGGTGCTCGGTCTCCTGCTGTCTGTGTGGCCGCTGCTCGCCACTTTGTCACCGGTTTATATGAAGGACATTTCAGTCCCTTTCGAACGAGGCAACTCACCCCCTCCCTCTCTCTCCCCCCATGCTGGGAAGTCCTCTCTCTATCTCCCTCCCCCTTTTTGCACACATAGAAAAGACTCCCTCCTTCCTAATCCCCCCCTGAGATGTTGACCAAATCCTCCTTGTTGACAGCCTTCCTTCCAAAGCCCATGCACTACATATAAACAGTGCAATATAAAAGGATGTGTTGCCCTTGATCGTGCTCAGGTGCTGCTGAGTCACACCTGTCCTCACCCTCTCCTCAGTCACCCCCAGTCTGAGGGTCAGGGCTTTTTCCACATGACAGGGTTAGCAGAGCTGAGATTTAATAGCTTATACTGCATGATGTGCTGAGGACAGGGAACACAAATCTCTGCAGAACAAAACACCGACGAAACTGCTGCGTTCTGCAAAAAACTGTAATCATAAAGGCACTTCGGAGTATTTTTATAGATGACCTTTTTTTTTTCACATCCCAGGAGCTGGTGACCTTGGTTCAGGATTCAAAGGCTTTATATGTCATGTGCACAATAGCTACAGAGTTTTGGCAATGGGAATCTGTTGTCTTCCAGCAATGCAACATACTAAAGACTTGCAAAGAAATCCAATCCAAAAAGAGCGAGGGACATTTTGTTCCAAGTTAAGTGCGTGAATAGGATTGAAAGACATCAGATTCAAAGGCTTTTCTTATCATATGTACGCTAGCTAAATCCTAAGCTCTTCCAACAATGCAGCATATTATTATCATAAAAAGAAAGAAGACATGAGATAACAATAAGCACTTCAGTAGATAATGGTGCAAGTAAGATGCAGGAATAAGTAAACTAAAATGCTTTTATTGTGGATTGAGGATTCAAGATTCAAGGCTTTATTCGTCATATGCACAATAGCTAAGGCGTTGTTCTTGCAATGAACATTTTGAAACCAGTCTCCTCCGACAATGCAACGAACAATATACTTGACATAAAAGGAAAAATACATAGGAAAAACAAGTAAACTATGCATGCGAAATCGAATGAAATACAACAGAATGTAACATGACATACAGTAGAATACAATAGGTGTTTCAATGATATAGCCTTTAGATATGTGCGCTAAAAACAGATGTGTATCATATGTAATGCAAGAAACTTGCAATCTCTGAAATAATGTTGATTATTCTTTCAATTTGGTGGAAAAAACAGGTAAACTATGCATGCAAAGTCGAAAGGAAATACAACAGAATGTAACAGTAAATACAGTGGAATAGAAACACTGAATGTTACAATGATATAGCCTTTACAGTATATGTGGGCTAAAAACAGATCAAGATTCAAGGCTTTTCTTGTCATTTGTGCATAGCAACAGTGTAGTTATGACAATGAAATGCTTAGGTCACAGGCTCCTCCAACAGTGCAACAGATACAAGTGCAAGTAAATACAATACAATTGAATATAATAGAAATTGTGCAGAATAGTCTATATACAAGTAATTGGAATATTGATATATATATAAATTGCAAACAGATGAATGTTATGGATGTTTTTTTCAAAAGTATAATGCATGTAATGCAAGCCATGCAAACGAAAACATGTAATTTCTTGAAATAATGTTGATTATTCTTTCAATTTGGTGGAATAACATGTTGAATGACGGAGATATACGCTTATAGTCTGAGTGGGGGTTTGTATGGAAAATCATGTCAGTCTGTGTGTTTTTCCACGATGAGTGTATTTACTGCTCCTGGCTTTTAATCTCAACTCGCTCTGGACCTGGTTGTACCAGGCTAATCCCTCCCTCTGTCTGTCTCTCTCTCTCTATCTCTCTATCTCTATACTCTCTCTGTCTCTCTCTCTCTCTCTCTCTCTCTCTCTCTCTCTCTCTCTCTCTCTCTCTCTCTCTCTGACCTCCCCAAGTCTTTTGGCCACAGAATAGCAGATGGAGAATGTCTTGCGGTGGCCTAGATTCATCCGCCTAAAACTAAGGCTGTGAAATTGGTAACATGCCATAGACATGATTGGTTTTGGCAACAAAAGCATGCCGGGACAGGAAGGAAAGAAGACAGATTGGCCATCACATTTACACACAGATTGAGTTCAGATGCAATTGTCTCAAGTAAGCTGAGGATTGAAATAGTTGGATAAAAGTACAAATAAATGGTAAAATAGTATGCTAACAGTAACGGATAATCATTAAAATAGTTAGCTTATAGTTAGCTAAAGGATTGAAATAGTTGGATAAAAGTAAAAATAAACGGTTAAAATAGTTAGCTTAAAGGTATAAACAAATAGGTGAAATACTATGCTAACAGTAACGGATAATCATTTTAAATAGTTAGCTCATAGTTAGCTAAAAGGATATGAATAGTTGGATAGTAACAGAAACATGAGTCAACTAGTTAGCCTATAAGATAACAGATAAAAGGTTTAAAAGTTAGTTTAAAGTAAATTATTAACAGTTAAAATAGTAAGCTAAAAGCTAAGAATCAACAGCTAAAATAGTTAGCTAAAGTTGTGAAATATTAAACAGTTTAAAAGAGTTATCTTTAAAGGGGACCTTATCATGCAAATGCACTTTTGTACGTCTTTTATACATGAATATGTGTCCCCGGTGTTCCAGGGAACTCACCAAGTGTCAGAAAACACAACCCTCTCTATTTTCCTCCATACCCAAATCTCTAAAAAAGGGGGGCTGCACGGATCTGATAAAAACTGATCCAGATTTGAACACTTCTATGACGTCACAGAAGTGGCGCTACGGCTATTTGGGCCAACTCTCCACCTATCAGGGGAATGTGGGGTTGGGCCCACGGCCGGCCATAGAGTGGCGAAGTCACGCCATCTACTTCCGCCCCATGGGACCTTATTTCGGAAAATAATGTATTGAAGTCAATGGAGAGAGAAAACTTATCTTTCGATCCCGTTTGAATTGTGCCAATGAATTACACATATGATGTTTGTCAATCTTAAAAATCATTTCCATGTCAAAAAAGTCACAGTTTGTCATAAACTGTTGAAATATAAGACTATGAAAAATACGCAACTAGAAAGACTACAAATCCCAGAGTCGCGTAAGTGATGTCACAATTGTTTTCCTCCACTAAGATCAGCGCCATATAGATATAATCTATCTATATGGCGCTGGCTAAGATAAGATAACTTTAACAATATGCCTGTGTGCTTAGTACCAGGTTGTTATCATACCAGCAATGGGTCTTGCTCGTTCTTTCGCTTCCCGTCTGATGAAAGGACTAGGAGTGTCTGGATCAAGCTAGCTAGTAGCTAGCACGTTAGTTAGCATTACAGCCTTGTCATTTGTATTAGCCTTAACATGAAGTAACATTAAGTAACCCAAAATGTTAAACAGTAAGAGTAGTAGTCATATTTCGTGAACCCTTTGAAGAGTACTGTCACACCGGTGTGATCATTCTATAATACACAATTTAAGCCCGGGGGGAGAAATGCTAATGCTAACGCTAGCGATCTTCTCTACTTCATGCTATCTGCACAAATGGTTGACATTAAACATTAAACGACCAGGCAGTTCAGAGAGAATCAAAGGAAGGCAGGCAGGCAGCTTTGAATGACATTCTTCAGGACGTGTTTCATTGTGGTGATAGTGAGGGCAGTCAATCGTTTTGTTGACAAGACAGTAGTGACGGCCATCTTGGTGACGAGTGTTGTTGACCAGAGATGTAGTTCATTGAGCGTTTCACACAAACAAATGTGTTACTTCACAGTTTTACGACACATTTTTTTTTTTTTGACTTGCAAAATTATCTTTTAAATTGACAAAAATCATATGTGTAATTCGTGGCACAATTCAAACGGGATCGAAAGATAATCTTTCTCTCTCCATTGACTTCAATACATAATTTTCCCGAAATAAGGTCCCATGGAGGTCCACCGGAAGGGGAGGGACTTCGCCACTCTATTGCCGCTCGAAAGCGCTGGAGACGCTGTAGTACATATGCCAGGCCTGTAAGTGGCGCTGTAGTCTGCCACAAAAGCAGCGAAGAAGACTTCCCGCCCATAGTTACCATGGTTACTCTTCTGTTTATTCTCCGCTGTGGCTTTTTTTCTCCCTCCCCGAGGCAAGCGTTTGCTCCCGCTGCTTTAATTCAATGCAATCCGTCCCCGTCGAGGCAAGCACTGTAATTCTCTCCGGTTAGTCCACCAGCAGATGACAAACACCCACCTCTCCGCCTCTTCCAAGGAACGAGGGGACCGTGCGGCAGAGTTTCAGTTTCAGTTTCTTTCGCCGGTCAAGATGTCCGTTAAAGTTTAAATCTTCCGGACAAAATTAGAAAAGTGCCGGTCAAAGGTCTTCTTTGTTATTTATTGAGCTTTAAAACAAATGAATAACGACTCTATATAATAAAACACGGAGGACGGAGATCTCTTTTTCTCCCCCTCTTGACTTGATCAGAGCACGGCTCCCCTCTCCTGCAGGGGGGCGTGGTCAGCTGCAGCTCACAGAATCAGACCCGTAGACAGCAAACAGCACATAGAGCAAAATGAGGCATGGCTAAAATGCATGATCTGTTTGGTATTTTGAAAACAGAAACGTATAAATACCTTATATAGGTATGGGCCCTACAATATATCATTAAATATAGCATGATAGGTCCACTGTGACGGATAAAACGTTAGCTTAAAATAGCTTAAGGGTTGAATGGTATAATAGTAATATACAAGTTTTGTGAATAAAATAGTTAGCCTAAAGTAACAGATACAAAGTTACGGGTAAACAATACAAATAGTTAGCTAAAAATAACTGCCAAACAGGTAAACTGGTTAGCTAAGAGATACGGATATAGAGGTAACATCGTTAGCCTAAGGGTTGATGTTGCCAAAGGGACGTAAATGTATGTTAACATAGTTAGCTGAAAGTAACGGATTAACTCTAAAAGTAGTTATCTTAAATAAATAGATAAACAGCTAAAATAGTTAGCTAAAAGGAAATATTAAATGGTTGAAATCGTTAGCTTTAAAGCAAAGGATAAACCCACAGTTATCTAGTAAGGAACAAATGGTTTAAATAGTTATCTTAAAGTACTCACTAA